TAATCCCATCAAAACATTTCAGGTATCACGATTAAAATAAAGTATCAAAATTCTACTCAACAGTTCAACTCAAGCAGTCACTTCTTAAAAATGTCACACTTAAGATGAGAGAAATTCAGTCAAAAATCTATTTCATACCTAGGAAAATAAAGCTAAAGAATTTTGGTAAAAAAACTGTATTTCCATTCAGTCATAATATTCCCTGAGTTACTATCCAATCAATCACAGAGACTAAAGCAAGCTAAAAAGAACTGATATCATTCATTCAGTTATATAAAAAGTCATGTCTAACAGTATAGCAACATGTTCATTCACAAAATTACAATTTATAGATCGGAATACTATATTCTCACTTTGGCTCCCAAGTTACCACTTAATGTTAAAATGAAATATATTACTTTTTAGTTTTAAATTCATATTCTTCTACTTAGTCATCTTTTCCTGCAGTGCACTGCCTAGATCTTTCTCGGAACAAAATTTGGTTTGTTATATCAAATTGGAGCAACTGTTAAGAGCAACAGAACTTTAATTCCTTCTACTAGCCATTTATGGGCAATACCCTCAACCTTATTATCATCATTGTTCTTATTGCAATCCTCTTATTTTCATTTGTGGTTGCCAGACTGAAAAATGTGGTCTATTTTAGATATTAAAAAATACATAGTAAATTAAATGGAAAATAAATAGTAATTAGTGAAATTCTGACCAATGAAAAACAGTTTATTGATGTATTTCTCTGTATTTAATCTATCCTGAATTTAAGCCTCATAAAATAATCATTAAACCAATGCTGTCCTTCTTCAAATTGGCACAACTAGCATGTGACCAATTATGGCTGCAAGTTTCATTTTCCTGGTGAGAAAACAGAGACTTCAGAAGACCGAGTGATTTGCTCAAATGTCTTATACATATCTGATGGTTTCCAAATGCTCTTCTTTATAATTCTGGTGGGTCAATAAAATAGAGACTTTCCAATCCACAGACTTGCATATGACATTTAAGCAAATCACGCACTGGTTGAAACCACTGTTTCTCACTTGGAAAATGGAGATGTCAATGCCTATCTAAGAAAGCAGGTAAAATAGTACCTGTCACAGAGGTGGGAACATAAGAGCCATTCTTAATGTTTGAGCTTCAGCAGCCCTTTCTTACAGAATTACATTTTATTACATGAGTTATTCCTTAAACGTTTTCCCAAAAATTACATTCTCTTCCTTTAGGACATTTTATTTCCACTTCTCTTCCAATGCAAAATAGTATAGAATTACATATTTGCTATTTCTCTGTTTCTCCATCCAAGTCATCCATGTGGCTATTGAATAGCTTATTTGGGACAAATCTCTTTCACATGATGTGTTGTCATATTCTGGTACCTTACCCCCATTTAGTTATGGTTCAGGTTGGAGGTTAGAGTCAGGAGTATTTTTTTTCCCAACAAAATACATTTAAATATGAGGTATGTTCCTTTTGTGAATAGAACTTTACAAGTCCAAAGAAAAACATTCATACATTTAACATAGCTTGGCAAGTTAAGTAGGAAAACAAATTCTATTACTGCAGAAAATAATTACATTGGTCTGGTAGAGTTTGCTTTTGAATATCTCCTGGTTTATTAGTTTCTTTGGTGAACATAGTGAATATAGATATACTGAACACACCTATGAAGATGGCTCTTTGAGCCAGCAGATTCATCTCAATGAGAGAAGAATGTCCATTTCATTGATTATGTCCCCAAATGAATATAGAATTTAGCCTTCATTTGAAGATAAAGAAAAACAGATTTTTGGAGGTGATTTCAGAAAATATTACTATCTGCACAACAACTTATCATGTGAAGAAAAATATTATATGTTGTTTAGAAATGGATGTGTAGAGCTATGAACTGTAGATGTATTGACAGTAGAAAATAAACACTCTCACGCTCTCCATCCGTCTGGTATAATGTGCCAAAGGTCAGGCACAGAGAGGAGAGCTATACACCCAGCGTGGTGAGAATGCTTTGGAGCTCATCTCATTTCTCACACCAATTACAGCCTACATTTTTATTCCTAGTAATAAGCTAGGGCCAGGCCAGGGCCTGGGAGGCCTTTGCGTTTTGGAGGAAGATGTGCACAGTATGTTTGTTAGCTCTACACTAATCTTTAAAGTCTGTATAACAGCAACTCTTGGGATATGGAGACAGTACTGTATTTTCAACAGTCTGATTTAAAATCAACTAACAGCTCCTTTCTTTCATATATTTGTATTAACCTCTGTAACTGCAGTGTCATAAGACAGGCATTTTTGGAAGCATGAGAATAAGCTAAAGTAAACTGTTTTTTGTATATACTGCTTTACATTTTATATAACTCTATGGCACTTTGTAATCAGACATTAAACCTTCCCTGTTTTTTCTTTAGGTTGTTCAATATAAACTATGCTTAAATTACTTCAATTTAAAATATTTATATTTGAAGTTGGCTGACATAACAAATGATTAATGCAAAGGGGTATTGTTAAAACAATACTGGGGGTTCTTCATTAATGTGGTTATGAGTATTCTAATTTAAGGAAAATGTTTAGATTTCAATTTTCTTTTATTTCTAGTTTTTAGTAGTTTTCCGGTATTTAGAGTTCTAAACATTTTCCCTAAAATGACAGATCATAACATTTAAAGAAAAACTCAGGCATTTATCTTACTAGCTAATGCCTATAGTTATATTACAATATTGTGTGTCCCTCACATTTTTTAGTTGAGTACACAATAGTTTTGGGTGTGTGATGTCAACATTGTTATTATAAAATGCTGTTTAGTAGAAATTTGAATAATTTCATCAGGAGATTTCAAAAGAGATCAAACATATACAAGGACATAGGTTTAAACAGTTGAAGTCAATGGCAACTGTGATTATAATTCAAATATTTTCTGTGAGGCATTTCCAATATTTCCTAAAAAGTGCATTTTCCATTTTGCACAGAAAATTTATTGTCTAAATGTATTTGCTCTGAAGGAAATGATCTCTTGAAAAGTAGAGGGAGATGGGTAAACTAATATTTGTTTAATATTAATATCAGGCATGTCAGATGTTTTTATGCATTATTTCATTCAGTCTTTGAGGGAGTATGTAGATCTGTCATAAGTAACATTCTCAGGGTCACAAGAGATAATAAATATCAAAGCCTAGATGCTGATTTAGCTGGAGGAATATGGGCATGAAAAAAGGCTAATCAAGCTACTATATTTGTGATGAATTGTCTGCAAAGATAGATGATAACGACTTCTAGGATGTTCCTGAATGTGCATATGGCTCTTTCCACTAGCCCATGGGGTCAATTCTCTCTCCCCTTGAATGAATCCACATCCCCTGGGATGGCCTTGTCACCCGCTTTGACCAGTAGAACCTAGAGGAAGTTGCTGTGTGGCTTCCCAGAAACCCTCTTGGAAGCCAACATCCACGCGAGGAAACACGCTCAGCCTCTGAGACTGAGTGAGGGTCTAGCCAGTATCTGCCATCCCTCCCCAAGCCGAGCTATCAGCTATCAGATACGTGAGTGAGGGCCTCCTGAGCCTTCTGGCCCCGGTGAGTGTAGCTACAAAAGTAACCCCAGCTACTTTTTGCTTTAAATGCAGAAAAACCACCCAGCTGAACCCAGAAATGCCACATTAGAGAAAAAAATCGCAAAGGGGAAGGCTGAAATGAGTGATGAAGTCTTTCTCAAAGACAAAAGCTGATCTATCAGATAGAAGTTTTATTCACTAATCAGTTGATAAGTTTTCATTTTTCCCACTAATGAATGGGGAGCGGAGGAAGACCAAGTATCGTACTGAGTTGACTTCATTTGGAGATAGCTATGCAGATTGGATAATGGCTTTTTTTTAAAGTAAATTTCTTTATCTTAAAAACTAAAATATGAAGTGACAAACTGTACTACATAAAAATATTTTAAAGAGAGAGTCCTCTAAGTACAATTTTCTTTTGCCTTGTTCATATCACCCAAAGGGAAATCCCAGCTGTATTTCAGCCTCATGTATACATAGGTACTGCTTTGCAAGGCTAGTGGGCTTTTTCTGTGAAATTACTGCAAAATGTCTATTCAGATACAAGTCAAAAGCCCTCTTAGTTTCTCAGAGGTGCCTGTAATTTTTCCTTAACTTCTATCACAGGTAGGTTTGCACACAGAACAAATCTTAGCTGTGCCCTTTCAGTCCGCCGACAGTACACATCATATTGTTTGATACTTTCACCCTCTTTTGATTTGTGTCAAGGATTATTGCAAGCTTATTGTTACCTTTCTAGGGTGAAAACATCTTTCACACATGTCACTCTTATCACATAGGTAAAAAGCACATACGCACACGTCTATTAATTACTTGAATACATTGGTTCTCTTACCAACTACCTAGCATACTTTACAGTTTACAACTTATTTTTTCTTGATTACACTCTTTCAGCTTCATGTGAAATGTATTCTGGAAGCTCCTTTCGCCTTTCAGAAATGTGATACTTCTCAGAACTGCGTTGTTTTTTTTTTAAAGATATTTAAATTGTTTACAAAGCATGTAACATCTCTTAAGCAAAAAAATAATGAATGTTAAAGTCCACCAATTCAAGTACTAAGTGTAAGTTCCTTTCAATGATATTTCTAGTTGACAAAAACAATGCTACTGATATTTAGGAAAATGTGAAAGAAAAAAGGATATCAAGATTTTCTTATCTAAGGTCTCAATCTTGAATTCAGCATATGTTGTGAAATAATTACCGTTTTTGTAAGTGCCTGAGTTCAGTCTCCAAGCTTCCATTTGTTTCTTTCAGTTCATCCAGACATCTCTGGAGCCTACGGTTCTGACTAAGGAAATCATCAAGCTGAAAGCAAATAGAAAATGCTTGAGTTACAATGATTGAAATTAGAAAATCCTTTTAAAAACAAGCTCTATTTTTTGCATGACAGTCTTATCATACTTGAGTTTCTTTTGTTTATATGCATGAATATATGAGAATGTTTATTTTCAATAGAATGCAAATATTCAATAACAAAATAACATCTAATGGATTCTAGAATACTTGACAAAATCTTTCTGTCTAGGCACTCTCTCCCCATTTAACCTTTGCCTTCCTTACTTAGGAGAGTTACGGAACTGGAACTTGTGCTTATTATTCCTGTGGTTTTGAAAATACATATGTATGTATTTACACACATATGTTACAACTATGTATGTATGTATTTATGTTTAAACATTGTATATATGTACATATATACCTATGCTAAGAATATATAATAGTGCAAATATATTCTTTAAGATATTATTTTCCTTTAGTTTTTTACTTAAAAAAAATGGGTATTGTGCTGTAATCTTCTGTTACTTTTTAAATTCAGTTGCTGAGACTTAACTCTGTTGGTGTCTGTCTGTCATCTGTCTGTTCTGTTTCATGTTACAGTATTTCATGAACATGCCACGATATTACACGACACTCCAGGCTATAAGTATTAGATTGTTTGCAATATTTGTGCTGCTCTGAAAATTCTTATATATGTCTCCTGATGCATATATGAAAAGTTCTCCCTTGAGACATACCTGGGTAGAGATTCACTGGGTTATACTTCTATAATGTTTAATATGACAAGATAATGCCAAAATGTCTCCCCAAGTGGTTTACTAATTTACCTCCTAAAGGCAATTAGAAGGGATCCTGTTTGAGCCACTTGATATTGTGATATAAAAGTATTTTGTGTAGATAAAATACATAAATACATCCACAATAAATACATAAAAAGTATTTAACAATCCCTGATTAATAATTTTGTTCATATCTTTATTGGCCTAATGTTTTTCTTTTCTAACTCAGGATTTCTGCTCATTATTCTATTGGTAGATTTTTCTTTTATATTTTTTCTGTTCACATTTATGTTACAACTTGTACTAATCCTTTGTTATGTGTTCCAAGTATCTTTACCAAGTATACATCAAGTTTATAACTTATTTTTCAATTTAAGAGCTCTTTGAATAAATAATAGTCATTTTACTAAGTAAAATTTACCAATATTTTCTCTTACACTGGGATGTACTTAATTTGCCAAAAGTAGTTCCCTAATCAAAATTTACAGAAATACCTGTATTTTCAAATAAAATCTGTAAATTTCCTATTTAAGTCCTTGATCAAGCTGTAGTCAATTTTTATATGAGTTAGATATCCAATTTTACTTTTTCTATATAGAAATGCATTTTAATAAGGGCATTTACTGAATAAACAGCTATTAATCTGACATAAAATCTGTGTTATATCAAAATTCCATATATTCTATGTATGAAGTCTGACTACTGATGCTATTTTAGCGGTCACTCTATTTGTCCCTCCACATTGTGAATTATTCGAGCCTTCATCATAAATCTTGATTCATAATGGGGCAAGGTCCCTTCCTTGTGCTCTTTCTTAGAAATATCAAAGATATTCTTGTCTTCATAATTTCAGAAACAGCATAGTAAATTTTAAAAAGAACCCATTTGTATGTAGCATGGAATTTCATTAATTCTATAGAATGTTTAAGATCATTTCCATATTTAATGCCTTTGTCCATGAACATGGTATATTTAAAATTCTTTTAAGCAATGGACACTGGCATACTCTGAGCAAGCTGAGGTCTTGGCTTTGAAATGCCCTTTTTAGGGAAAAATCTACCTGTGTTCCTCCAGTTTAGTCAGTAAATGTTTTTAGTTTTACTGCTTTGTTTTAATCATAATTTCTAGAAGCCATATTCTTCTAATTGAAAATTTGAAAATCTCAAGCAAAGTTGTATGCAAGTGCAGCTTCAAGACAAAAAATTTGCCTCCCCAGATTGCTGCCCAACGGCACTAGAGGAAAAGAATTTCAGTATTTAATAAAATTGTACATGAGGAAGATTTGATTGTCCTTAAAAGTCAAACTACTGCTAAAAATGAAATCTGATCCCCAGAAATTCCCCAATTCCAATGTCAGTGTTATTCAAGTTAAATCATTTAAACATTAGAAATATTTTTAATACCCTCATAGAGTAATACCATTTTATAAACCATTTTCATTAATTATCTGTGCCCATGGAGTAAACATTTTATAGACATATAGTAACACCCAAATATTACTTTAATATCTGCATTTTGTTGGCACTCACAATTCTTAAGTTTATACCTAATAAACTTTTTAATAAACATAATCCAAACTTTCAGACCATAAAACTTCTCCCTTATCAAGTTTGTACAGGTCTCTGTAGACCTTTTTTTAGTTTTGACTTCATGTAAATGTTGAATTAGAAATTTTTTAAAGATCTTTTATATTTCTCCAGTTCTAATCAGTATATTTTAATCAGCACATTTCACCAGAATTTTTTTCAAATAGACAAAGAGTATTATCAATTTAGACAACATTAGAGTATAATTATATACTATGTATCACTTAAAAATTCTTATAAATTCAAGTAGGCTCAGTATTCAGACTATTTCTGGCTTCTTTGGGTATGGTCTTAGATATTTTCATTATTTAGGGAGAAATAAAAGTGGTCAATATTCATGTCTCATTAAAAATTAATTTTCAGAAATATTTTAATTCTGCTATATATATGGTCAAGATAAAAATTAGAACAATAAGGTAATAGCTTAATTAACAATATTTCACTATTATTCTGCAACTTCAGGTTATTTCACATTTTCACCTTCTTTCCTAAATATCTATTGGAAAAAAGCCCTTATTTGGTTTCCCAGTGTCAGTCCCAAGGACAGTTCCTAAAATTATGACTGATACATTTATAATTTGAAATATCTTTTAGTATTTTTTCTTTAATTTATAGATTTTCAGCTTCTACTATTTTAAATTTTAATATATAAATACTAATATGGGGTATATGATAAATATCTAGTAATACCTGTCTGTGGTTAAGCTTCTCAAGTAGTTAAGGAACATTTTGGTCTAACTATGAAAAATACAAGAGTTTGAATACAGTATGGTACTTAAAATAAGTTATTCATTATTTTCTAAATTGGGAGTAATTTTGTAGCACATTTTAGAAACGTATACCAAAAGATCTTAACATTCACTTTTTAAAAATATATCACATACTGAAATGTCTGAAAAATATCAGAAACACAGAAAAGTTCTTTTTGTGCAAATATGATCATGAAAGTCAAATTGACCTGAATAGTTACTAAAAGTAGTATGTTTATACTCCATCGCTCTGATAGAACATTCTGCAGACATTAAAATACTTAGCTTTCATAAAGCTATTTTATATTATTTAAATTGAGAAGACATCTTTACAATATTGTGAATAGTATATGACATTTCTTATGTAAAGAAAAAATAACACCAACATACTGATAGAGGGATTTAGATGTTTTGATATTTTCTAAATATGTCCCAAGTTTTTATAAAATTTACAATAAAATTATATGAACTTCTAAATTAACTTTAAGGATGGTTTAAGTGCAAGGGAAAGTGCCCTCACAGTCTCTCACCTGGCTACTGCCAAGATTTGGCTAAAATGTAATTCTGGCCAGTTTGCCCCAATTGACAAATCCCTCAGTACAGTCCAATGTCTACAAAACGCATCTCGGTGCTCAGATTAGCATGTACGCCCCCTAATTTCCTGTCCTGTATTATCTCCTACCAGGGCAACCTCAGACTTTTTGCTCCAAGCAGAGTGCGTTTGGGGGTAGGTTTTGTTTTTTCCTTTCCCACACCTTTGCTCAGATTCTGTCCTCGTCTTGCAATGGACTGACTGCTGCTCTACTCCAAAAATACTTTAAGAAAACAGGCTTCTTAAAATTCAACATTATTTTGAATCACCTTAGGATCTTGTTAAAATAAAAATAGTGACCTAGTTGGTTTCAGGTGGGGCTCAAGATGTTTGCATTGCACCAAGTTCCCAGGTGATACTGATGCAGCTGGTCCTTAAACACACTGTGAGCAGATGTCAATGCAATTACCTGGCCTGAACGATGTGGCTATGCTTGGATACTCCACCCTGCCTATTATTAACCTTTGTCTTTGAACTTATCAAACTAAGTCACGGTAGTCGCCTTCTGTCTCTTCTTTCATAGACTGCAAGCTTCCTGACAGTGCTGCAGCCACCTTACCCTGTCCCGCCTTGTGCACGAGACACCCATCTTCTTTCCCTTACTCAAGGACTACGTAGTTTCCTCAGTGTGCAGTGCCCTTCCCTCTATCATTTGGTTTCTTCCTCTCATCATTCCCATCAAGGACTTTATATTAACTCTTCCATCTGCCTGGAACTTTCTTTCTACAGATACTGGAATGATTAATATCTTTTGTGTACTGACTAAATCTGAGACCAGACTCCACATTTAATACTGAAACTTGTCCCCCAAGCAACAACACTGATAATTATGTGATTTGTATATTGTCTTGATCTCTCTTCACTGTAATGCAAACTTCATGTAGAAAGGATATCTATTTTATTCATGTATGTATTTCAGTTGTTTGGAATAGTGTTTTGTGCAGTAAGGATAAATGGATGATGGACACGCTAAAGCAACAGATGCCCTTACACTTTTGCAAGAAAATAGGCTATAATTTGAAAAATTCTTTATCAATAGTATCCTGAAATTTTTATACTCCAGATAAATCCAACTCAGTATTTACTGTGAGTGTAGAATAATTGCTTTGTTCCTACCATCCCTCTGGTAAGACCCCAGACAGTCTGGATGAATTCTGGATAGAATCCCCAAAATGTAGGATTCTGGAAAAATGTGTTCAAAACATATGTTATAATCTGATCACAACAGCAGTATAACAAGGTCCCAACAATACACACCTTGGTGTTATAGAGGAAATGACTTCAGCTAAAAAGGAGTTACAATTCCTAGAAATTTTTATCT